TGAATATCGATACAAAGAGAATTTGTTAGATGTTCAATCAAAACTGAGTTAGGAACAAAGTGTTTAAATTCTTGTATAGATAAGAAGTAGGAAAAAAAACTCTTAGAATAAATAAAATGTTAATGTTATATTTTTAATTTAAGTTCGTTTCAGGATTTCTTACAGGAAGATTGTATAATTGTATAATTGATTAAGGAAAATATATTTAGAATTAAGTTCATGCACAATCATGAGTATTAAATAAAGTTATGTATTGTAGAAAAGTAGATACTATAGATAAATAGATAAATAAAATGTTGTAGTGCTTTTTGGGAAGCTTATTTTTTTTCTGTTTTTTGCGCACGCTTTTTATCATGAATCATTTTTCATTTTCACGCCGATGGAAGTTTAAAATATTGATAAAAAGTCTCTTAATTTAAATTTTATTTTCAGATTTAGTCTTCCGCGTCGGTTTTTTTTTCTAATTCCTTTTGTTGCTCGTGTGCACAACGATCAAAAGTTTGAACGTTTTGCAAATGTACATCGCAAAGAGAATTTATATATGAATAAATAAATTTTCGTGCTAATGGTGGGTGGATAGAATGTCGTGGATAGGATGAGTCTCCAATTCGCAGCAACCTCCAGGCGGCGGGACCTGGGAAATCATATTATTTAATATACAATATATAATTATATTATTCATATCGGTTGTACAATTATATATTTTATTATATATATTATATTATATAGAAAATAATATGAACTAATTGGCTGCGAGCGTGATTATTTTTTTCGTAAATATAATTTTTTATTCATTTAAGCGATAAATATAATTCTCGTCTCTATTTTGAAAATTATGAAGTATGATATTTTTCTTTTTTTGTATCTTTGAATAATAATATATATGTAATTACGGTTTATTGTGGTAGATGGCGTTGCCAAATTGTTCTTTCTTGGTTGATATTTCAGAACATATTGTTTTAAATTTAAGATATCGCTTCGATCTATTTCTCGTCGGTACTGTAGATATATTACACGGTTCTTCTAATACTCTGGCTCTAAGAGATGGCACTAATTTCGGAATTCGTTCCATTTCTTTCTTTATCTCACGTTGTTTTCTTTTCTTGTTTGTTCTTCTTTCATAATAATTCAAATTATTTTGTAATTTGATTAATAATTGAAACTCGGCGAGAAACAATAGAAATTTGAAACATTTTCGATTTCTGTATGAATTCTTTTCTTGAATTTCTATTTTTGATATGAATAATAAAATGTTTTTACTTTGATATAATTTTCCATTGAAATTTTTTTTTTCGCATTCAATGGATAACACTGTTATCGTTGGATATTAGATATTATATATATTTATATTTATATTATATTTATATTTATATGTAAAGAAATAATAAATATATCATTTTATTCAAAAATTTTTTTGATTATTTTAATGTTAAAAACTTATGAGTGATACGATATTTTTATAACCACTTGGTCTCATGTCATTTACCTAAGTGGTCGCAAAATAAGCGACTGCGATCTTGATGCCATTTCATGGAATTCGTCGAACAAAATTGATGGAAAATGAAATTAAAACATGCCGATAGAATCAACGTAATATAAGCGTGTCAGACATTATCGCGATTCAACATCTTCATTTGCTTGTTCTTCTTTTCTTTGCTCAGTTTTCGATGGATATTTGTAACGAGTGTTGAGAAGGTTCATTTGAGATATATAATAGAATGAATAGTAAATGTCGGAATGCTCGTAACTTGTACAAGAAAAAACTTAGGAAAGGTAAGTAAAAATTGATTTAAAATGGAAAAAGATTTTTGTGTAATGTAATATTTTGAATCTTTTTATATCATATAATAATAAATTTTAAAGCTATTTAAATTTTTTAAAATTATGATTCTGAAATGAAAATCTGTATTTACTTAAGATATGAATATTGAAATATTCTTTAAAACTGTTTAATAATAATTGTATAAATAAGTGTAATTGTATAGATAATAATAGATAATTGATATTAATTTATCAACAGTTATATTAATTACTGTTATTTCGTAATAAATTAATCATTTTTATTTGATGGATACTAATTAATGATTGATCCTAATGTTAATTTTAAATTTGAGATATCTTTTGGTTAATATCAAAAACATTAGCATTAGTTTATAAAAATTTTATTAGAATATTTGTTTTTTCATAATTTGGTTCATGTCAGTTTTCGCTTCTATTTATTTGACTAAAATGTTTTCACTAATATATATATAATAAATTTGGATTATCTTTATTTTATCCGTTTCTATATTTCTCTTATTGTTCATGTTGCTCACGTTGGTTTATCTCTTAATATTTGATATTCTCTTTCTCCAAATATCCTCCAAGGCAGAATACTTTCAATTTCACATGAAATATATATTGTAATAAATGATTATATTTTTTATTTATATAAACATATTAAATTATATCATATAGTAAAAATTTAATTATATATTTTATAATGAATAGAAAATTATAATTATTATAAATTATATATGTATTTAATATAAGGTTATTTCGAATTATTGTAATAGAGAAGATATTTACATAATACGATTAACACGATTAACACGATGAGAAATAAAAAACATTTTTGCGGAAAAAAATATTAATGAATGTTTGAAAGATGATTGTTATAAAAAGTAATTGTAATCTTCGTTTTATTTAATTATTGTTAATGATCTTTCTACAACATATATATAATATTCAATATCTCATATTCTTACCATTTTTTTTATTAGAAAGTTTTAAATAAAATTAGTGTCATGTATTTCTACTTTCAACAAGAAAGTTCTAAATAAAAAATATATGAAGATATTCTATCCAGTAAATATTTCTACAGTGTAACACATTATAAAAATATTCTTTTAAATATATTTCAAATATATTTATGAGATATGATTCTGAATTAAAATATATTAGCATTTATTAAAATATTTTATAACATAAATATTTCAGTTTTAATAAATATTTCAATATTAATGTATAATAATATATACAAAAATATTTTCTCTTAAAAGTTTTCAGAAAGATACTTTAATATTATTATATATATTGTATATATAATAATATATATAGTATTCAAAATGATTTAATAATATTTCAATTCAGGATGTTTATCAAAATTTGCGCAAACTATAAACTCATTTTTTCGCAATTATTGCGAAAATACAGCACTACATGGCTTTCGATACATCATTATAGGCAAAACGACTTTTCATAAAATAATTTGGTTAACGGTGAGTGAAACAATTTATTTATTATCTTTTAATTTCAATATGAATAATTTTTATATTTATTTAATGCATAGATCTGTGTGGCAGCAATTATCTTTTGCGCAATAATGATGTTACGACTATCGCTGTACTATTTGAACAATCCTACAGTGACGATAATTGATACATCGAATCCCATAAAGGAATTACATTTTCCAGGTATCACTATATGTAACAACAACAAAGTGTACAAACCTCACGCTGATAAGATCGCACAAAAATTGTAAGTAAGAATTTATGATCCGTATAGATATAGTGAGTAAAGTGTTTATAATTGCATTTTGCTATAAAAGCTTTTTAGATATATTATTTAGATAATATTTATAGAATATCTTTATCAGAATAAAAACATTATAAATTTATTGTATAGAAATAATATTAAAAAATGGCTGTTTAGTTTCAATTTCAATTTTTAATTTTTCTATTTATTTTTTGTTTCATTTTCTTTGCTTTTAGAGATGTTCGAATGATAACACTTTGTATATATATAAAAAAACAATAATCTTTTTCATTTAATAGGATTATAATTTATTCATATCATCATTTAATGTTATGAAAAAGTTGCACGTGTCTCAACAAATTTAGATCTGTGTCACATTCAGAAAAATATACGAATGTAATAAAAAGAAATTGTTTTACGTATTATAATATATTTATAGAAATAGTATACCTTATCCAAGCAGAATAATGACAAAACAAGTAATAACGAAATGCTTATGATAATATCTCTTATGTGAAATTAGTTTTTTCGAAAGAGAATCATAGATCTACATTGTGTTTCATAATAATTTATAACTTCGTTAAAATATTTAGGAAAAATAGATAATCGTTTTAACATCGTAGAAGTTATCTGTTTACTATTTGTCGATTCAATTTCGCGAAAGAAAATATTTACTACTTTAATTTTTACTACTATCTTTAATTTATAATTTTTTATTTGTTAAATCTATTTAATAGATTTAATTCTATTTAATAGATTAATAAAAAAATGAAAGAAGTATTGTTCAAACATATTTCACGCGTACATGAATTCAATAACGAGAGAACTCTACTATGTGCACATTTCTGAGAAACAGTTTCTTTTAATAGGCTGATGTATGGATTCAATAGAGACATGACTAACAAATTGTTCTCTTCTCTGATGAAACTGATACGACCAGACAAAATTGAGATCGATAACGCAACTGCGTCCTGGGCCCTCGACATTCTTGGTTACACTGTGGAGAAACTTATGCTCGAGGTAAATAATATTTTTCTTCCATTTTGTTTATGAAAATATAATCATATATCTGAATAACGATGAAACATATACATTATTATGTAAAACAAAATATGAAAATATATAGTTAAAAAATGAAAGAAAGTAGAAAAATTGTAAGTAACTTGGAAATTAGAATAATTTATATTCTTTTATTTCTCTTTTTGCAGTTGATGCAACCTTGCGACCTATTGTTAGTGAGATGCGGTTGGTTGGGACAACTTTACAATTGTAGTAAAATTTTCAAAATAGTGAAATCGAAAGAGGGTTTCTGTTGTGGTTTTAATTATCATTCTATCGATTACAAGTAAAGCAATATTGTTAACTTTATATGTTATTAATGAATTAATTTTTACTATTGTTATTATATATTTATCGATTTTAATGTTTCTCAGTAATAAATTATCTTGGTTAACAAATTATACGAGGGCTATTGACAACAAAGAAACGAATTCTTCCGATCTTCTGCCAGGTGTTAGCCGCGTTCTGGTAATATTTTTGAAAAATAAAAAGTATTATTAACTTATAAAAATTTATTATGCATAATATTTAAAATCAAAAATGACATACTAGTATAAGAAATCATTTTGAGCAAAAATGAATGATAACAATATTCAAAGAAAAAATAATATTTAGTTATTTCAATTATCAAACAAAGTAAAGATTCTTCAATTCATATTCTTAAATCAATCATTATCTGAAAATGAAATAAGATTTAAATTAATTTTTAATCTAACGATCCATTCTTTTCTTCGCTGAAAAAATTTATAAATATATACTTTTCTCACTCTATTCTAATAATTATATCTTCAATAATAAATATAATATAAATAATAAATAAAAAATAAATAATAAATAATATAAAAAATAATAAACAAAATCATATATATGAATTTTCTCAAATTTCAGAATGTACCTGGAACAGGACGTGACATAGGTTTGGCAGTAGCGTTGAATATCGATGCTAAAAATTATAAAAGTTCGGTAAGACAATTTGTAGGTGCCACTATTTTGATCCACGATCCATTAGATTATCCGGATGTTGGTGCACAATCTGCGAGTTTGCAACCGGCCCATGTAATGTCAATGACACTTACAGGCACGAAAATAAAAAGCTCGAAAGATCTTCAGCATATACCTTTAATTAAAAGGATGTGCCTGTTTGATGATGAGGCAAATTAAGAATTTTAAAAATATTGATTTAAAAATATATTAAAAATATATTAAAAATAATTTTTTTTTATGTTTTTAGCTACCTACAGATATAAATTACACACTATACGATGGAGACCAAAAATATAATTATCAAACATGCATCTCGAAATGTTTACAGAAGAAAATTCATGGCTTTTGTGGATGTTTGCCCTTTTTTTTTCCTGATGATCGTAAGTAACTTATATAAATAGTTTTCATCAAATAAATAATTACAAAAATATTATAGATTTATTATGTTCTTAAAATTAACTGTTAACCAATATAACCAAATATTAAAAATTTTTTGTTGTTGTTCATAAAATATTCACAAAAGAACTCAAAATCTTTTAATATAATATAATGATAATATAAAAATAAATCATTTATCATTAAATAATTAATAATAATGACATAAATTTAACAATTTAACAATGGAATTACAAAACACATTCAATAATAGAATTTCTTGATTAAATATACTTTTTATTAGAAATAAAATTATTCTTATTATGAATTATTATTTGAATTATCATAGTTACGAATATTCATTGGCTATGTTAATAGATCCGTACGAGCGCACTTGTTATTTGACGGATGTGGATTGCATTCTGGCTCGTAGGAGTAAGTAAATAACGAATATTTATTTTTCTACAGTAAACATTTTTGCAGTAATGAATTAAACAACTTCGATATAAAATCAAAATAAAATTGTAAAATATAATCTTTTTAATATGATTAAAGCAAATTTTTATTTTCATTTTTCAAACAGGAAATCTGTCGCAGATACAATCATTGCACATCAACGATTGCGATTGTCTTCCACAATGTAGCGATGTAAATTACGAAATAGTTACTGAATCGATACCAATGGACAACGCAGAATTTGATTCTGAAATAACGTAAGTTAAATAATAGAGCAAAAATTATTATAAAAAAATAATAATTGAACATTTAGAACATCTTATTACAGTTTAATATCAATTATGTCATTCAAATATATAATAATTATAGCTATAATTGATATTAAAATTTGTATTATTTTAAATTTATTCAATTCATTTAATAGATAAATCATAGAAAGATAAATAAATTTTTTTCAATTACGCTATAAAACATAAAATGTGTTGATCGTTTACAGGCGTGGCTTAAATCTTAATAACACTTCGTTTCTATACGCTTATTTTCGAGATGGCACATATCTCGAGTACCGGAAGCAAACTATCTTAGGATGGGACAACCTTCTCGGTAAGATGAAATAATAATTTCATACGTCTTGCCTTCTTTTCTATCGTTGGTTAATAGTGAAGCGTGTTTAGAAGAATAAAGAAGAGTTAAAGCTTCTTGGTGAAACCGAGCACGAGTTCTAGAAGTTCGATTAAAAAAACAAAGGTAGAGGATGAAGTTTACACGCGAGAACGAGGGAATTTTCTTTGAAAGTTCGTGATTAAGATCGAGATTAAGACGTGTATATATATTTTTGAATTATATTTAATCGAGATTGTGATTTAAATTTAAAATATTTGTAATTAAAATATGAAAGTGTAGCAATATAAATTTAGCAAGTTAGATTAATTATAAAATATATTTCAGCTTCTTTCGGAGGAATCTTTGGACTTTGCCTGGGTGGTTCGGTGATAAGTTTCGTTGAATTCTTTTATTATTTCATAATTGACTTTTTTTCCGTTCGTAAAAAGAAAAAAGCACAACTGGTGGATGTACCGCCTGCTTCGAAATTATTCATCTCCGTTCCGATGAATGTAAATTTGAAAAAGTACAATACGTCAACTCTGAATAAACGTATTTTCCTCGCATGGAATCAGCAATTTCCCAAACGAATTTGGAAAAATTCTGATTATGAACTCAGTATGTATAAAGAGTGATCCATTAATTTATTTGGATGACAATAATTTTTAACAAAATTCATTTTATTTATATTTTTATAGAGGATAATTTACATATATTTATTTTAAATGTTAGAATGAAATGAAACATAGATGCAAAATTTTAATAGCGAGTAAAAATTATCTTTTCTAGAAATATTTAAATTATTAAAATTGGAATTTGATCGATAAATTTTTTAAAGTGTTATAAATCAATTAAAAATAATTTCATTGATTTTATAAATTTTGTTTGTTCTGGGGTTTATGTACAAATAATTTTAAATAAATTTGAATTAAATTTGAAAAAGTAATTTTGAGAAAAAATAATATACTTTTGCGTATAACAACAAAATCTGGAAGATCAAAATTTTCCTCGCAATTAAAAAATAATCGTACAATTTTAATTTTTTCATTTCATTCTAATGTAGATATAGATTGATACATATATTCATAGATACTTGATATATTATTAAAAATTTATTAATCAAATATATTCTTATCTATGGAATCGATTTCGTATTCTAGTATGAATATAGTATGAATATAAAATAATTTTTATTTTTAAAAAATGTGAGATATAGATAGAATAAAATAAAGTAATAAAAAATAATAATGATAAAATGTTAGAAATATTTAACGTTAGTACATTCAAAGTTATTTATTTCGATATCACTGGACTCGACTCGTACCACGTATGAAACGTGGCTTTTGATGTTATTGCTTCCCTGCCTAGTTTTGCCAGTCAGAAGATGCTTCAAATGTGAATGAAAACGTTGGCTTAGCAAACAGTAGAGCACAAAATTGGCCGAACTCGATATCGCGTTCAAGAGAGTAGCGTACATGCGAAATCTGTTCGAATATGCGAATATTAATGTGAATTTAAATGTAATTAATAATATATTATTAAATTTTATAATATTATTCAATCAAGAATATTTAAAGTACAATAACATTAATTTATTATAATTATAAATAAAAATTTTGGTTATAATTTAAGATAATGCACAATGTATTGATATATTAATAATATTTTAATTAATGATACATTGCGTGTAAGTTAATTTTGTAGAAAAAGTTATAAGACAAAAATATTATAATAAAATATCACAAGAAACAATACTATTGAAAATTTCAATTTACAAATTAGCTAATATAAAAATCAAAAACTGACCAAATATCAAAATAAATCATTTGATTTAAGAATCGAAAGTTTTGATGTGAAAATTAAATATTTCCCAGAAAATGTAATTGATCTTAGTTTCTGATAATAATACAAAAAATATCATGAAAATGTTCATGAAATTAATTTCCAGGAAATAATAGATTTTAGAAAGAAAAGAAATAAAAGAAAGAAATGTTAGAGATGAAAGTAAATTTAAAAAATGTATACAAAAAACAATGAAACTTTCAATTTTTTCCATTTTTTTTACAAGATTTGATTCAAATAAAAAAACGATAAATGAGATCTCATCGTAATAATAATCGCATAACTCACACTTAATGTTATTCAAAGGCAATACTCACGTTTCCATATAATATTCAGAGACTTTTGTCGGATCTCCACCATAGAGAAGCGTCAAAGCACTGAGTCGTGATGCCAAATGAGTTGGCACTTCACCAACAAGGAATACAAACACGATGCCAACCATCATCACGTTCACTCGTGCCTGATCCTGAAAAATAACAATTTTTTACGATTGAATGCGTTCTATAATTAACTATAATATGCATCGGAATAATATATACGAGAGAAAAATTCGTATATCATAAATGTAAATCGATAAAATATATGGATTCACATCTGTTCAATGAACGTGTAACGATCTAATTTTGATGATGACTATGACGACATTTGTGTTTATAGATCTTCTTCAAGTGATGAGTAAAATTAAGCCTTGTTCACGTTAGTCAATTTATTTAAATTCTACTTAATTTGTTGAAATAAAGTTAATAAATGAAGACAAATTATCGAAAAATAATTATATCTAATATAATAATCTCAAAGTAAAAGCGTAGCAATGAAAAAGTTATTGAGAGTTTCAAGAACTTGTGAGAAACATGATATTTTGTAAAATAATGAAGGATAATTTTATTGGTAATATAAGATGAAAATATGATTAATGGTATATATTCAAAATTTTATAGTTACAAACATCTTAAAAAACATTTTGATGATGAATTTTAAATATTCGCTGCTTCAACTTAGATCAATAAATTTTTTTTTACATTTAATTAACTAACTAAGTTGAAAAAAAAATCAATGGAAAGAATTTTTTTGAAAAATTATATTGATAAATAAAGCAATAAATTCATATTGATAAAATTATCAATTAAAATAAAGCGATTAATATAAAGGATTAATATAAATGAAACTTTATAGACAAAATAATAAAAACCTTATGTAAATCTCATTTATTGATAAATTTTAAACAATGCTTGATTTATTGAGCATAAACTTTCGTAGAACAGACAATTCCTGTTGTCTGTACTACTATCAAACATTCCTTCAAGCTGTGCAAATATCTTAAATTAAAGCATCCATTCACATAATGTGTATTCAGGGTATATTTAATACATTTTTCAGCATAAAAAATGATAGTGGAAATTTCTACAAATATACTAAATTTACATATGATGCGAGCAAATTTTAGATGATTCGTGAAATATATGAAGATATATATTTATAAGTAATCGTATATATGTACATAAATGTTTGACTATAAATAACTATATCGAATCACCTGTTCTAATTCAACTTGACATGGAGATTAATGATATATTAAGAACAACTATATTTTGGAATCAATCTAAGATAAGGTAATTATTTATAGAAATATTATATTACTTTATTTATATTCCTTGTAAAATTAAAATTTCTTATCATTTTCTATGTCATATTGATCATATCATAAAAAAGAATCGACTTATAAATCATTTCGTATACCTTCAGACGATTTCCTTCCCGTATATTTTTGTGCCGCAATACCAATTGTCTTCGTTTCAAGATTTTTCTGATTGAATGACACATGATTATATTTGCCACCAACAAGAGAACAGTGGGCATTAAACCATGCAATACGAACTGTAGCCAGTTTTGAAGATTGTACAACCTGTAAATTCATTCTAAATTTTATTCTTGCTTGCTTTAAGATTAGAAGGAGAATAATAATATTTGATTCGTAAAATCAATGGAATTAATATTTAAATTATATTTCAAAAAAATAATAGAAATATATATAGCAATTCTAATCGATCTTCTAGAGCAAAAATAATAAATAAAAAAAATCTATTATTAAAAATGTCTTTCGACAAATTTCTTTTTCCATTCTCTATACTATATTTATATTTATATTTTATTACTCACCACGAATGAAAGAAACTCGTTGTAACCAAATCTCCTTGTTCGTTGTAGGTGTAAATCAAACAATACGGTACATTAAGCAAAATGGCGAGACAACTGGAGAAAATCATCAATTTCCTCGCCATTCTATAATCGCAAAACTTTGGTGGTCTGCATCTTGGCATGCTATCGATCGAAAAGCCAGGATCTTGTTAAACTTCCATCTTATCGTTAAGTATGTAAGTAAAAAGGTGAATAGCGATGATTAACGTTTAGGATGATCGAGTTTGCAAGTAATTATAAGTTTTAAGAACAAGGTAAGAAAAAATAAATTACGAGATCTCTTAGATAATTACGAAACACGTAAATATCGATAAGTGAGTGTCGAGAAAGAGTTACAAGTTATAATAGAAAAGAATAATTATATTTAATTGATGAATTATCAATTTTGTTTTTAATCTATTAATTATTTAGAAATTTTTAATTGTTATTTACCTAAAAACAATGGTCAACCTATCGATAGTGACACACATGGTGGCCCAAACTGTGACGTTGGATGAAACAGAGACAACAGGTAAATAGACAAACACGTCAAACTCCAACCATCCGTTTTTACACCAAAAGACACCTCTTGCTAAACCGGAAAACACGAGCATGGAACAAGTGACGAGATCGGATGCGGCAAAAACTGTAAATTCAATTTTATTCTCTATTCATTGTTTGGATAAACAATCGTTATTTTTTCTTAATTTTAGAAAATTTCATTAGAAATCGCGCATGTCGGTTTTGGAATAAATATTTGCTTCATTTAAGTGTTCGTTTAATATTTCAAAATTTATAAGACGTGTAATGTAATTTTGCAAATATCGAATGTCGAAAATTTAATTAATCTTCTTTTAAATCGTGACAAAAGTATACGATTTAATTATCGATTTCAGAATTAATTCTGTTTGTGAAAACTGGGTCAAATTTAAACCACGTGGAAATTTCAATTTAAAATCATTTAAATCCAATCTTCAATTATCCTTTTTCTTTTTTCTTGCCAATAATATATATTTTAAATAAATAAATATGTATTTTAAATAAATAAATAAATAAAAATTTAACAAAAAATTATATAATATAATTATAAATTATTTTTATGAAATTTAATAATATTTAATAATTCTCGAAAAAATATGTTTCAATACATTTTAATTAAATAATTTTTAAAACGTTATAACATTTATAATAAAAATTATTAAATTTTTTCTAATCTATAGTGAAAAATTTACTAATCATTTTAACAATTTGCATATAAAAAAATACTAAAATTTAACCAATAAAATATAGATTAATCAAAATTTTAATTTTCAACGTTTTAAATAACAAAATATTTAAATAACAAAATGACTAAAAAAATATATTTTCTCAACAAAGACAATACGAATCGAATAGACGATTCCAATAAACTGAAAATGGTCGCTTTTACACGACACCAACTGACTTCTTCAAAATAAATTTGAAATTGGCTAAAGGGAAGCAAAGTAATTCGATTTCACAATGATTTCTTATGATAAGAAACTAGATCTGACCTCTCAAGTATGTGAATATCGATTCCTTGAAATTCTCGTCAGAGAGAACGTAGAGAATTAAAGCATTTCCAATGATCCCGAGGACCGAGACTATAGGAATTGCGATGCTGTACACGATTATACTGTGAAGAGTTGGTTCCATTACCCATAGACTAATGTCGTCGAAAATTATCTGGCTCGTTGATCTATCAATGACATAAAATCATTAATTCTAGAATAAAATATTTGAATTTTTATAAAATGATTACTGCCATCCTGTTAATATAAATCAAATATAATTTTAATATAATTTCAAAATATAGAAACTTAGGCTTTTCAAGAGTTTAAAAATAGATATGTTTTTGCATAAAATAAAGATTTTTCATAAATAATTTTATAAAATTAATCGTTTATAATAATTAAATATTTATTGATACTACTTTAGGCAAAGAAAAATTAATAGAATGTGAAAAATTTGTTTAAAAATGATAAAATAAAAATGATAATAATATTGAAAAATTAAATATCAAATAAATCATGTATCATGTATTTATTTTATGAAATAATAGGATTTATTTTAAAATATTTATACATTTAAAAATTATTGAAATATTCAAATATATAAAAACTACGAATTATAAAAGTTTATATATTAAGAGAATTTTTGTTATTTCAATTAATTTCAAAAAAAGATAAAATTATTTTAAAAATATTTCTTTTGTAGCGAAAACATATCAAAATATTTTCTTGTATGCACTCTATGAAAAAATACGATAAATATTTTTCATCTTTTCACGCTACGATAGTTAAACAAATCATTGCAAATAGCGAATATTTACCTTTTACAAATTACTATCATTTGTTCGCTGAAATTCATACCGTGGGAAGTTAACATTATTTTTATTTCTCGTTAGATTAGATAGCACGAAAACGTTTAAGACACTTCTCTGTAATGTCGAGAAAATGATGGTTAATAACAAAAAAGAATAGTACAAAAAAGAAAAATATAAATAAAAGATCTTGCAATAAAAGAAGAGCTGGAAAACGAAACGAGATAGAATCGCATCTAACTATAAATTGAACATCTTTCTCGTTTAATTGTGATTAAACGAACTTTTTCTTTTTCGTAAATCCGGATAAAACATTCTCTCACTTAGAACAGCTTAGAAAAAGCTTATATTTTAAGAGAGATATTTTTTTTTAAAGATTCTGTTTTATATGAAACAGTGTAGTGTAAAGTAGAGAAATTCTTACGAGAATAAGGCAATTAATGAATTGTTAATTTTCGATTCTGTTCTTTCAAAAGAATTTCTTTTAAAAGATAAATTTGAAATTTTATCGAATAAAGAAAATATTTTATATTCTAAAATTATTAATTGTTACTATTTTATATTTACTTTAATTATATGTATTATATATTATTATTCTTATTTATATTCTAATTATTAAATAATTAAAATATAAATAAATTCGTGTTAAATAATTTGATAGATTAATTAAACAAAAATTCAACATTTATAAATTTTTAAAATATTTTCACTCTAATTCTTGTTCTTATTTATAAGATGTTCATATATCTTTCTTTTTATATCACGATTTAATTTTCGAAAAATTTCACCAATCAAATCTTTGATCTTGATATGACAAATAATTCACTGTATTGTGATTCGTGATGA